AAGATATTTTAAACCAAAAATATAGCCTGAGATTTTTACTTAAAACTAAAGTCGTAAAGATTCATTTTTATTTTTACTTCTACTTTTTATTTATATATACAGTATTATAATAAAAAGTTAGTTAACAAGATACTTATAATTTATTTTTCTATGTGTTTATTTTTTATTTTATTTATAATTTTGAATTCTTGCTATATAATGAAAATTCATTCTTGTATGGTATAAATTTTTCTTATTTATAAATGAGATTTATTTAGATTTAATTTAACCAATCAAAATATTTTATTTATTTTGTGAATTTTGCCATGTCACATTTATGAGATGATATTATTTTGCACTAATTTTTGCTAAGGTGATATTTGAGATTACACTAATGAAAGCGTAACAGATAAATGAAAATGTTCAATACAATTATAATATTATCAAGTATAAACTAAAGTTTGAATATGACCAAAAATTTTCTTAGATATATTTAAAATAATAGAAAATTAAAATCCATAAAACTTATTCAAACTTATTCTTGGAAAGAATAGTCTCGATGCTAATCCCTTTGGACACCTCAAGAATTATCAACATTGCAACCGAACTTATGCTGTATACTTAAATAGTTAAACTAGTGGTTAGAGTTGTTTGACGCAGCTAAGAATATTTTGAGTGCATAATAATCAATAAAACGTCATTAGGAAACGAATATAATTTAAATAAATATAACAAAAGCATACAAATATAATGAAAATGCTGAAACAAAATTAAAATTTATATGTTATTCGGGCCGAGCCGACACACAGACGAATATCAAAGGCAGGTTCTTTCATGTCCGAAGTAACTATAATATTAATAATACAAAAAAAATACTAAAAAAAACAAAAACTAGTCTTCGTCGTCAGAGTTATCGAATGTGATCTTCGTAGCTTTTGGAGCATCAGCTGCTATTTCTTTGAAATGAGCTCCGTACAGTTTTGATTCCTGTAATTTGTTAATCGAACATAACACACATCAATCACTGAAGATGAAGAACAAGAAGAAGAAAGAAGAAGAATCAACAATGTGATAAAAGAAATCGAACCTTTTTCTTTACATGAGTGCCAAACTTCAAAAGATCAGCTGGCACGACTTGTCCAGCTTCCCTGAGAACATTCACAAGTTCTCCGGCAAGACTCTACAATAGACAGAGAGACGCAACAATATTTGAATCATCTCAATGAAAAGAAGCTGCTCAAAGAATCTCTGTAAGAGAGAGTTTTTAGATTCAAACTAAAACTTCACCTTGTTCTGGCTTGTGAAGAACGTGTGTGCAACACCCTTTTTACCCGCTCTTCCTGTCCTCCCGATTCTGTGTACATAATCCTCTGTTGTTAAAGGGAAACTGTAGTTTATCACAACTTCCACGTCGGGGATATCAAGCCCTCTTGCTGCTACATCAGTAGCCACCTACAATCAATAAACAGTATCAACGCTCTGTTTCAGAACCAGCCAAGGATAAAGTTACGGTATAATACTAAGAACACGTACCAGCAACGGACAGGATCCTTCTTTGAACAATGATAAAGACCTGGTACGTTCACTCTGTGCTTTGTTTCCGTGAATAGATACAGCTTTCCAACCTCTAAATAGTTATGTAAATATCAGAGAATCAAAGCAGTTCTTGAAAAAAAACATCAAAAGATCTTTGCTTCTTTTTTTTTTATGTTGAGGTGATCAGGCATAAAGATCAAACCTTTGCTGAAGAAAACGCTCGAGACGCTCAGCTTCCACCTTGTATAAGGCAAATACCAAAACCCTGTTCCTGTAAAATACCGAAACGCTTGGTGTTAGTAAGCTGAAAAAGGAAAGATTTTGTAAGGGGGTTGGATATTTGATTAAAGAGATTTTACTTTTGAGATTTGTGGTATTTTTCTAGTAAAGCAACGAGTCGCTGGTCACGGGCACGGTCGTCCAAGACCTGCATTTGTAACCAAACCAAAGACCTGTCTGTTAAAGCGTGTGACTAAAGGACATCAAACACTACTTGCTCTGGAGAGTTATCAAAGAGAGAGAACATACCTCGATGATTTGCATAACGTCGTGGTTAGCAGCTAAGTCAACAGAACCTATGACTACCTGAAAGAAATTCGAATGATCCGTTGAGAAAACGATGAAACTTGTGGGTGAGAGACCATAAACAGAGGAGAAAACCATACCTTGACTGGGTTTGGATCCATGAATTCTTGAGCCAATTTGTGAACATCCACAGGCCAAGTGGCACTGAACATAACCATCTGACGAACTATGAGACAGATAAAAAAAAAAAAGAAGAATTTTCATTAAAATTTGGAGTCAAGTCCTCATTGATGCGAGAGCGCTAGGTGAAATGGGATTCAACTACTTACCTTTATTCGTCTTGCTCAATATAAACCGGACTGGTTCCTCGAAACCCATATCAAGCATTCGATCTGCTTCATCCAATACCTGACATGTAGGAAATACAATGCAGGTTGTTTCATTGTAGCGGTAAATTTGATGCAATAACAATGCAACCTATACAAATCCTAAGGGGCCAAGTCAAATAGAAAAGATGTTATGTTGCTTACCACAAAGGAAACATCAGAGAGACGAAGCTCATTAGATTCAATCAGGTCTCTCAAACGACCTGGCGTACCAATGACAATATCCTAAAAAGACAATATCAAATAACAAAACAAAATCGTCATTTTGATTGATCCACGAACACAAGACAGTGTCCTGAATCCTGATGAAATGACATGATAAGAAGTCTTACAACTCCAGATCGAAGTGCGGTAATTTGAGGCCTTTTAGAGCTTCCACCATACACACAAATCGATTTCAAACCACACGGCTCTCCAGCTTCAGTCAAAACATCAGAAATCTGCAAAATCATCACCAAACAAACAAACAACGAAACTAAGAATATGTTTCCTTTCACCTTGCAACTTAGAATATGAAGAAAACTGGTTTGTTATACATACCTGAACAGCTAACTCTCGTGTAGGAGAAAGAACAAGACACGTCGGATTCTTTGTTCCTTTACCACTCTTATTCTTCTTCAACATGTGCATAATCGCAGGAATCCCAAAAGCCAATGTCTTACCTAAAAATACCCAAATCACAAAAGTTCCGATTTTTAAAAACACATTTCAAGCTTCTCTCTCTCTCTCTGAAATCACCCAATCACAAACAATACTAACCTGACCCAGTTTTCGCAATCCCGATAAGATCACGACCATCTAACAAAAACGGCCACGAATGCGACTGAATCGGAGATGGTTTCTGGAATGTCTTACAGCAACTGAGAACATTCTCCGGCAATTTAGCTCCGGCGAAAGATGTTAAAGCTGCGTACTTTGCTATCTCCACATCTTTTCCGGTAACAACAACCTTCTGCTCACCCGAATCCTCGGATTCCGGTTTCTTCTCCGGGACGTCCTCAGCGGTTTTATCCTCTTCCTTCTTCTTCTTCTCCTTCTCCATCTCTTTCTCCTCCCTCTTACGCTTCTTCTTCTTCTCTTTGCTACTCATCTCCTCGCCGTTAGTGACCTCCTGAGGCACTTCGACCTCCCGATCTTCCTCTGCGTGTTTGTTCTTCTTGCTCTTCTTCTTCTTCGACTTCTTGATTGAATCTGTCATCGGACTCTCGACGGCTAAGGGTTCGCCGGAAACGGGAAGCTCTTGCGTTTTTCCAGCCATTACTGTTGTTTACGGGGAGAGTTGAAACGGCCGAACGAGAGTCGTTGTACAATGTAGGTTTTTAGGGTTTTAAAGCGTCGGAAAGTAATTTTTCTGAAAATTGCAATTTCGCTTGAATATTTTAATTATTGCCTGAAGGGATCTAAACTCCTGTTTTATTATCTATTCCTCAATAAACTCTTCTTCTGTTAAAATTCGACCCAAATATGACCAAGTTTCTGAACAAATGGAATTGTATGATTAGGGGATCAATCTAAGGCCAAGTCCATCATTCAGTCCCATTTGATTTTTTTTATTTATATATATATATATATATATGTGTTTTTAGATTTCTCTAAGAAATTTTATTCAGGTTTTATTTTCAAAAATAATTATATATTTTTAATAATCCAAATTTTAGAAAATCTTTCAGTTTATAACTAGTTTGTTTGAGAAAAGGTGAAACAAATCAGTATTTTCTAGAATCTTTTGCTATTCATGAAATTCAAATTTAAAAGTTATGATAAATCACAATCGTTTTACGAACTATAATTTTTTTTTTATTTATACACTTTAGAGAAGTTGGAGATGCTGAATAAAACGTTTTTAGACAATTAATCTGGTTGGCTTGCATATAATTTATAAACTGTTTTTTTTTTATAATTTAATTGGTTATGAATGTACTTATATTAGAGTTTGCAAACAACACAATAGTCTAGGGACTAGTTGATTAGTAAAGTAGTAAATCGATTTTACAAATATCTTTGTGTAGGGTGGATAACATCCATACAAAAAAAAATTGCATCTCTCTTATTCTCTAAGCAAATATTTAATTATTTCAATCAGGCTCAAAGTGGACAGTGACGGAAACAACAAAATTATCTTTACTCAACATTTGTTAAACAACCCAACTAGTTTATTATTCTTCAAAGACTTCAATTAGCAACAAAATACATTGATTAATAAAATCTAATTACTATTAGAGAATGATAATTAGATTTCCCAAATCCAAGAAAAGCTGAAGGACAAGAAGAAAAAGTAAACAAAACAGAGTGAAGGCATAAGTTAGAATCTGCTTAAGCAAATCAAAAGCAAAGCTTAAAAAAAAGAAGCCTTTAACTACGTTCTTCTGGAGATATAAAGCAACCTTCCTTCTTTAAGTGCTTGAAGATAAATCAAATCCCCTTGCTTTCTTCCTCTTCTTCTGCTTTGGAGATTATATATAAACTCTTGGGATTTTCTTATTTCTTATTAGTTGTTTGACGAAATTCACAAGTCAAGATCAAAGGGGATTTCACCTTTCAAAGTCAGAAGAAGATTTCAGATTCAATCAAACCATGGTTGGTATTTTTTCCAGATTTTCTGTTGGTAGAAACAGCCATCGACGAACACAGAGTGCAATCGTAAGCTTTTTTCTCCTTAGAGCTTCTGGGTTCGAAGAAAATGAAACTCTCTTTTTTTTGTTCTTGGATCGGTTCTTATGAATTTTCAACTGCTAAAGTTCAATCTGTGAAAACATGTTTAGATCTTTGTTTGGTTCAAAACTGTGGAAAAATCTCGCCTTTAGCTCGGATTCGAAATCCACATATTAGATTCTCCAATACTGTTCATTATATTCTCTAAGTTTCAATCCCAGATTCGACCAAAGTATGAGTTTTTCTTTTTTTTGTTACTTCCTTTCTGATGAAAGATTATGCCTTAAAGCTTTGGCCTTTTTCAATTGTATGATATGGGTTTAGTAGTTTAATCTGAGTTATTGACAAAAGGTCTCCTCTTTGAATCAGGATGATAAAGAAGTGTTGGCTCCAAATTCTGATGCTACAGCAACAAATCCCACAACTGCAACAACAGCTACTCATGGGATTGAAGTAGCAACAGAGTTTAAACCGGTTGAACATCCGGTCGAGCCTCTAGACAATGATCAACCGATTCAATGTCCATTGCCTGAACCATCCATTCTAAATGTAACACATCCATGAGAAAAAAAAATTGATCTTTTAAGTGTTAGCTAGCTGTTTATAGAAAACCTTCTAAAGTTTTGAAATTATAATCTTTGGAGGAATCAGGATGGAAGAATCTGGAAGGAGAGAGTCTCGGCGTCTATGAGGAAAAAAGGTGATTTGCAGATTGCGAAAGATGAGTCTGCTGCTGAATCCGATGGATCCGCCGCACCAAAACCGCCACGCCCGAGCCCTTCTAATCGTTCGATCTTGCCATCGCTCAGTGCACCTGAACACAACTTGCTAAATCTACTTGAAGAATGCAATGCGATGCAGCCAGTAACATCTAGGAACGGATGAACAAAGTTCCGTTATAAAAGCTCAATATAGTTTATAAGATATTCATCACACTTGTTCCTCAAACCCCTTCTTGAATCTATGTGTTTTTTTTCGTGTTTACTCTTTTTTACTTTTGTGTGTTAAAGAACAAAACCAAATCATAGGGTATGTACTATATATTCTACAATGAAAGGTCTATTATTTTTCACTTTCATTCAACTATTTCCAAGAACTTCAAACATCTTAACTGATCTTGATTCATGTTGATTTGCCCTTTAAGGCTTTAACTTTTGCATGGTGTTATTATGCATTGAGTTCTCCGCAAGTAAGTTTCACTATATATCAGCTTTATTTGGTAAAAGAGAAAAGTACTTTTACTACTCAAAGAAACTTTGTTTATCCCACTTTGTTTTTTTTTTAACTTCAACATGAAGAAAATACAGAGAAGCTTTATTCATTCTTCTATTGCTTTGCTGCAAGAAACTGATCTTGTTTAATCAAATCTTTCCATTCAAACTGAAGATTCAGGAACTGTGTAAACATCTGCCGCTGTAGGGTTCACTAGATGTTTCCGTGGCCCACGATAGCTCCCGTGGTTAATCCTTGCTCTTCGATGCAATCCAACGGTCTGATTTTCTCTTGTGGCTTCACGGTCCATCGCATTATTGACTTGAGTTCTTGTAGGATCTGCAGAAACCAGAAGAAAGTGAAGTATCAAGAAAACAATAAGAGTTGTAGAAGATGAGATCTTTAAGTGACCCATTACTCTTTGGTTTTCTTTCTTGAAATGGAAATATGAGTTTGAGAGAGCTGAAATGATGACAATAAATAGAATGCCAAAAAAGAAAGAAGAAAAGAGGATAAGAAGGAAAATTTAAAAACCTTTGCTTTGTATTGAAGTTACTCTCATGAGTCACATGATTGTGTTGGTAGAGTTCACCAAACTTCACCTTTCTACTCTTGCTAACACATTTAAATATAATAAATATCAACAAATTATTCTTTGTCCAAAAAGATCACAACAATTCACTAATTATCTATCTTTCATCTTAGAATAATATATTTGATTCAATCTAGTGGACCAGTTAGTTTTAAGATCGCTACACCATTTTAATGTTTTGTTTAAGATATATAAAGATTTAAAAGAAATTTTGGATGAAGGAACTAAATATTTTGTAGGAAACTTTATTACAGGATAAAACCAGAAGAAGAAATTCTTTTAAAAATGTTAATTATGGTTTAAATCTTCCACAATTAATATTTACAAATCCTTATTTCATTCAAAGAAAAAAAATTAAACGAACCAAAAACCAAATCTAATAGAAAAATTACAATTCAACATTTTTACTCTCCCCACATGATCTCTCTACTTAAAAAAAAAAATACCAAAAACAACAAATCATCAATCAAGAGTTTCCTCCTCCGGGAAACTATCTTTCACTCATCCGGCTCCGGTCTAACATACGGCGAAGAACTCATGTCCGTACTATAATACGAATCTTCTCCACCACCATTCAAGTAACTCTCTTCCTTCTCTTCATCCCATTTCAAAACCTCTCTCACATACTTAAACCCTTCATCCACATTCCCACGATCCCTAGCCCTAGCTTGCCACACAAACAGTTTCTGACCCGTGAGAGACGCGTAAAGAAGCTTGAACTTCATCGCCACGTAGAAGTAAGCTTGGTAAGCAAGCGACTGTGCGGTGCCGTTCGTCCTCACGGGACAGAAATCGCCGAACCAGTCGCAAGAAGTCAGCGGGGAACGGTTCAGCTTCTCTTCGAAGAGGTCGTACTTGTTTAAGATCAAGATAAAAGGCGTGTCTTTGAAACAAGGATGCTTCACCATCGACTCGAAAAGCTCCTTGCTCTGGATCATCTTGTTCTGGAAACTCACCGTTCCCTTGCTCTCCGGTGTACTGATGATGCTGATCTGATCGTAATCGCTTAAGCTTATGCAGAAGGTCACCGCTCGTACATCTTCGAACATCTCTACCCATTTGCAGCTATCGTTCATCCCTTTCGCGTTCACACGGATCAGCTGGTACCTGAAAACAGAGGATTTGATATAGATTACTAATAAGTTTCCAAAGTTTCCTGGTTTCAAGAACACGCGCGAAAAATGAGCTTTTACTTTGGCTGAGGAGGTGATAAGACGTCAGGGTTTTCTTGGTAACTCTCTGACATTGGACTGTGTTCGCTGAGAGAAAACTCCATGAAAGCTAATCCATTTCCTTGCGTAACGCCTTCAGCAAATACGATATCTCTCTCCGAAGGCTCGTACTCGTTGCTCGACACTTCCATGGCGCGGCTCAAGAAGTACTCCGCGACATCAGGAAGGAAATGAAGCTCGTCTTTTCGTCTATACGTCGCTTGTATCGCCGGATCTTTCCAGACTTCTTCAACCAGAGGAGCGTACTCGCGTGTAGCGGCCGGGAAAAACGCGTCGAGATCACCAGTTGCTATGATATCTAGAAGCCAGTCCGAGAAATGCTTCAACCTCGGGTTCAAGGTATATACACACTGTGGCGCATCGATAGTTCCATCCTCATTCCCTTCCTCTCCTGCAAGAACAGCATTTCAAGAATCAAGAAACTGATAAACGAAAACAAAATCGTTTGTGTAATGCGAAAAATGGTTACCTCCTGAATCTCCACCTTCGACTGCGTTTAAACCTCTCATATGAGATAAAGCTTCCTCTTCAAACCGTTCTCTTCCATCGAGTAGGATACTTAGATATCTATACATATTGCTCTGTACCATCAGCTTAATCTCTTGAAGCTCTTCCACCGAAAACTTGTTTCCATACAAAAACTTGGCCTGTTTCAGACAAGCAAGAAAACATCGCTTAACTAACCATATTTGTCACTTTGTTTTTTTCCCAACATTAAGTTCATTAAAAACATTACCTGTTTGAAGATGGTGCTTGTTCCAGACCCTTCGATACCAAGAAGTAGAAGTTTCTGAGTCTTCTTGTGCTCTAGATAACTCGGAACAGTAACATAATTGCTCGATGGCTGCACTATTCCGCGAGGTTGTCCTTGAGGAACAGGTAACGAAAACAGCGCACACATGAACCTCGTAGATGCCTGTGTTTAAGCCAAACCAAGAAACTCAGTGATGTTTCTTGCAAAAAGGATCTGGTGGAAGAGTTACCATATTAGAAAAATTACCTTCTCCCAAATGTTTCCACGGATATTATTCTGCCCTTCTTCCTCATAACGCCCATCATCGTATACCCAAAAATGAGTATCTCGTGGACATTGTACATTTGCTAGCTGAGATTCATACATAAGATTTATATATTCTGATTGTTTCTTGACATTTCACACTTACAAAACAAGACAAATACCAAAGGCTTACCTTCAAGATCCTTAACTCAAGCTTTGTGATCTCTCTACCGTTAATATAAACTTCCGTGTTCCCATTGCTCGCTTGCGGACATAGCTTCCCAGTGAAGTTCAAGTTCGAGCTTATGACTCTGTCAGGTTTCTCTCCTTCCTGTTCACAACAACAATGACTCAACAAACAAAGCGACTTCAACCCAAAAAACACCAAAACCATCATATGTATATAGATTACCTTGCCCCATAAACCGGATTCTTTGTCGTACCAATACCTTCCCGGTTTCAACTTCTCCGGCGGTAAAGCACAACCGAGCAGCTCAGCCATCTCTTCAGGCTTTAACGGATAACCATTCACGATAAGCTGCTCAGGTCTCAGCTGATTAGCTGCACACTCTTTCTCTGCCTTCATGATCTGTTTAACTTCTATAGGACTAAGCAACCGTGACAACACCCTCGAATGCTTCCCTAACTTAGACCGTTTCGATTCGTCGATAGCTTGACTGATGCAGCTCACGCATTTCCTTCCTTCGGGCATCGAACCCATCGCTCTAAGCACGCAGTTCCCACAGTACTTCTCATCACAGACAATACAAGTCTCCTTATGTTCCCATTTCGCTTTTCCGCATCTAGAACACTCTCTCTTCTTCTTGTTCCTCCTCCGCCTCTTCGTCCCGGCGGTACACTCATGAACCTTCCTCCCCCTCTCCGCCTCTACTGTCTCCACACTGTTATCCTCCTCTGCAGCGTCTTTACGATCAATACGATCGTTATCATCAACGGGTTTGAATTTCACGACAGGTCTCCGAATCTGATGGTTCCCGTTTTGTATATGAGCAGAGACTGGTGATACAGAGGCTGAGCCAGAGGATGATTCAGGGTTGTTCTGCAACACAGAGACCACAGACTCAGAGCTAGCCGGTGAGCCTCTAGGGCTCTGACCTGAAGAGCTTGTGACTCCTCCGGCTATACGAGAGACCGGCAATGGGATCGGTCGAGGGTTAACATCAACAGGTGAAACTCTAGGGATTTCGTGAACCGGAGTAGGACCGGTGTACTCTATGGCTATGGAGTAATCGAATTCCGATGGATTTTCCGGTAAAGGAGCTCCGGGAGGAAGCATCTTTTTCACCATTTCTTTCCAGCTTTCTCCTTCGTCTTTCTCCATAGCTTTACAAACCAATATAGAAATTGCAAGATGAATCCCACACAACCAAAATCAGATCATTATGTTTAAAATCCAGCCACTAGCTTCAGAATCTTGAAGGGGATTTTTTTCCTTTTGATTTCAGACACGTTTCTGGTTCAGACACACAGATGATAAAAACAAGAAGAGTTTGATTAGTATATTTTTTAAGTGTTAATCAAATTGGCTTCAACATCATATCTATACATAATCAAAGTCAAATAGCCGGCAAAAATGGACGTTTCCATGAGACATTGAAACCTAAAAAGGAAATGTATTTTTAATGTGATTTTGACAAATTCATGGTCAAATCAATTGTCCGTAAAATAATTCAACATCTAACCAAACCCACTTTAAAAAATCTCAGCTTTGAACGCAGCCTAGAAATGAAAAGAAAGAAAAATACCTAAAACAGGACAATTATTCCGAATCCACTTATTAAAAAAAAAAAACTCGACTTTCCTGAGAACACATGCAGCCGATTTCAGATCATATTTGTTATCAGATGAAGCAAATTAGTGAAATGTTCAGTATGAAATTGAAATTTCAGAATGAATGAGAACAAAAATGAGCTGTCTGAAGGAAGACAAAGCCATCAATTAAAGCAACACAACAAAATAAATCTTTTGCAAAAGAAGATGAAAAAACTTACCTTTTGCAAAAAAAAGCGTGGAGAGAGATTGATAGACAAACGAAAAGTCGAAGCTGAATCTGAGAAGACGAACTCAGAAGAAGTAGGAATCTGTACTGAATCCTGTGATTTTTTGTTTTCGTGTGAGAAAATCGAGAAAAGCCGAGAAAATCTGGAGAAAGAAAACTCCAGAGAGACGGTGAAATCTATAGAGAGATGAATCGAAAAAAGGACCCACGAGTCCTTACATAGTTCGTGACGATGGAGACGGGTTTGTGAGAGCGCGTGGGATTTAGACGCCCACTTACTTGCGAGTGGTTCACATCTCCACGACCAAAGTAATAATTTGGTTCCTATGCACACTTCATCCCACGCGTCTATACGCGCGTGCGTATCACGTATCCGTAAAACACAAACAGTTACATCAGACTCTCTCCAATGTAAGTATGTAATATTAACACTTCACACTCACGCTCACACGCTTGAGACGTAATAGTGTTTTTATCTTCTTTTGTCAACGATAATGATTTTATTAATCTTTTTTAAAATATCTCTCAGTTGGATTATGAGTTCCACTTGCGGAAATTGACTGCAAACCGTTGAGAATTGATTAACATTCAAATACCCGGGACTGTATATGCTAATATGCGCAGGCATAAATGTTGTCACAATTCACAAACGTCAACTTTTTTATATATATATTTGAAATATATCAAAGGAGCATGTGAGGAATGACATTATTGTGTTCTGACGTCTTTGGCGGTATTATTTTTGTTATCCTCTTTAGAATCTTCTTCATAAGTGGATCTTCAGAGCCAGAATGACGTTTTAAAACAAAAAAAGTTCTGATGAGCGTTTTTGATAGAAAGATAGATTGGATTCGTTTTTCTATCTTAGTGGACTTCAAATGTTGACAGGAAACAAAGATTGTGTGCCCCAATTAAATGAAATATTCTACTACTAGCTTAGTCAAATTTGTATTCAGTAAAAAAATTGATGGCCGACCCCATCCTGTTACTTTTAGTTAAAAAAAGGAACTTTAAAAACGATAAACATATCATATCCCATCATAATTGTTATATTTATATGAATTGACAGTTCTATTTGTAAGAGGCTTTCACAAAATTCCTTTGTTTTTAGCTAACAAGCCCCAAAAGTAATTTTGAATTTGTTGATAAGGAATCTTCTGAACTATTTCAGTTATCTACAATTTTGTGAAAAGAGACTCATTTGTCATTAAAAAACTATTTTGGTTTCCTACTGCAAACAGGAAAAAGAAAAAGAAAAGAAGAAGGCCAAATCAAGTTTCGGTTAGTTTGGTTAAGAAGAACCAAACCGAAATGAGCCATAGTAAAATCGTGTTTGAATTTGTATGCCAGGTGGGCCTGGTAGGGCCCAACAACTGACAAAACATGGAGAGAAAATCCGAAGCACCCACTCTCTACTCTCTCTCAGTCATCACAAACTTATCATGACTCCCAATTTTTTACTTGTGGCTCATATTTTCCAGGAAAATCTCCCGGGATGAGATTCGAAACCGGTCCCTTAAAGAACTCCAAAATCTTTCTCCGATGATCAGAGAAAGACTCCAAGTTCGAGAAATTCAAATTCCCAGAACATTCTCGGGCACCAAATCTCTAATTTTCTTAATGGTTTCAAGAAGAGGATGATTAAGGCACCAAATCTGCAGTCTCTGTTGGCTTCTCGAGACGAGATAACTCACAAACCCGACGTCAACAACTTTAGAGCGAAAGAGCAAGAATGTCTATACCTCTTGAAGAGATGCAAGAACATAGAAGAGTTCAAGCAAGTTCACGCCAGGTTCATCAAGCTCAGTTTCTTCTGCTCATCTCCGTTCTCAGCGAGCAGCGTTCTCTCAACCTGCGCTCACTCGGGATGGGAGAGCAGTATGAATTACGCAGCGTCGATTTTCAGAGTCATCGATGATCCTTGCACGTTTGATTTCAACACAATGATACGAGGGTATGTCAACGAAACGGGTTTCGAGGAAGCATTGTGTGTTTACGTTGAGATGATAGAGAAAGGGATTGAGCCGGATAACTTCACGTACCCGTGTCTTCTCAAGGCCTGCACTCGTTTGAAGTCGATTCGAGAAGGGAAGCAGGTTCACGGGCACGTGTTTAAGCTCGGGTTTGAAGCTGATGTCTTTGTTCAGAACAGTTTGATCAATATGTATGGAAGATGCGGAGAGATGGCACTCTCTTCTGCGGTTTTTGAGAAACTGGAATGTAAAACAGCTGCGTCGTGGAGCTCAATGGTCTCAGCTCGTGCGGGCAGAGGAATGTGGAGGGATTGCTTGATGCTGTTCCGTGAGATGTGTAGAGAAACGAATCTGAAAGCGGAAGAAAGCGGAATGGTTAGTGCTCTCTCGGCTTGTGCTAACACAGGTGAACTCAATCTTGGAACGAGCATCCATGGCTTCCTGTTGAGAAACATAACCGGACTCAACACAGCAGTACAAACTTCACTAGTAGATATGTACGCAAAGTGCGGTTGCTTAGAGAAGGCTTTGCATATATTTAAGAAGATGGAGAGAAGGAATCATCTGACTTACAGCGCGATGATCTCAGGACTCGCCTTGCACGGGGAAGGAGAAGCAGCTTTGAGGATGTTCTCAGAGATGATGGAAGAAGGTTTAGAATCAGATCATGTTGTGTACGTGAGTGTTCTCAATGCCTGTAGCCACTCTGGTCTTGTCACAGAAGGCCGTCGAGTCTTTGAGGAGATGTTAAAGGAAGGTAAAGTGGAGCCAACGGCTGAGCATTATGGCTGTCTTGTGGATCTTCTGGGAAGAGCTGGTTTGCTCGAGGAAGCCTTTGAAACTATCCAAAACATGCCCATCGAGCCAAACGATGTTGTCTGGAGAAGCTTCTTAAGCTCGTGCAGAGTTCATCAGAACGTTGAGCTAGGCCAAATAGCAGCTCGAGAGCTGCTTAAGCTAAGCTCACACAACCCAGGTGACTACTTGGTGATCTCTAACATGTATGCACAAGCTCAAATGTGGGGAGATGTAGCCAAAGCTCGAACAGAGATGGCTATCAAGGGTTTGAAGCAAACACCAGGTTTTAGCATCGTCGAGGTTAAAGGTAAAACCCACAGGTTTGTTTCACAAGATCGGTTTCACCCACAGTGCAAAGAGATCAACAAGATGCTGCATCAGATGGAATGGCAGCTGAAATTCGAAGGGTATTCACCAGACGTTACACAGATATTGCTAAATGTAGATGAAGAAGAGAAAAGAGAGAGATTAAAAGGACATAGCCAAAAGGTGGCTATTGCCTTTGCACTGTTGTATACACCTCCAGGGTCTGTCATTAGAATAGCTAGAAACCTGAGGATGTGTAGTGACTGTCACACATATACAAAGAAAATCTCCATGATCTACGAGAGAGAGATTGTTGTAAGAGATAGGAACAGGTTTCACCTGTTTAAAGGTGGAACTTGCTCTTGTAAAGATTATTGGTAGATTTTGGATCTTTCAGTATCCCTATTGTTAAATTCTTCCTTTAAGCATTAAGAAGCAGTGAATGAAAGCAAAACACAAATAAGAAAGAAAGATTCCAAATCAACCTTATTTTATTTTTTTGCCGCAAGTTTTTCCAAAGAGTTAAAAGACTTACAATGGGTGAAAAACAATGCACGGTGAAGTGGTTACACCAAGAAATTTTTACCACCCAAGTCTATATGCAAAACAGTATACTCAACCGAACTTGGTGATGCACCTAATTAATTGGGCACTGCCAAAAACAATGTTGCTTACTCAAGATGAACTGATGAAACGCCTGAAGTAATACCTGTGGTGCGTGGATCACCACTTTCTAGGCAAACGCCGTGTGGGTCTTCTTTCACCAACAAGGCCAAAACATTCTGCGAACTCCATGCCTGGGTCAGTTTGCTGCCGGAATCCCCTAACGTAATGGCAAATATGGCATCAAATCCACCAGCGCCAGGAACACCAGCAAGTAGAACCCCTTCAGCATTCATTGTAGAATCCAGAAGTTGAGTTTGGGTTTCAGGCTCTATCTGCAAAGCAAGTCAATTTGTGTGCTATTAATAATTTACAGCCAGCTGAGTATTATTCGAATCAGCACAAAGTTATTATAGCAAGCATCAGAGCAGACTTACCGGAACACTAGCAGCCTCACCCATCTGCCGCATAAGAGTTCTGATCCTCACCATAGCTTCTCTTGCCCCTAAGAGTTCTTTAATAATAGCTTCGTTGATTGGTTCAGTAGAATGTTGCACCCACTAAAAATTAGATACAAGAGGCAAATGAACCAAGCTGCTCATTGATGTAAAATATATCTAACGAAAGCATTACTCAGCAAATGGAAAAATACCTTATCAGAAGTAAGCACACTACAAGACTTAATGACTCCTAGATAAACATCCCAGTGGTTTTTCGCTAATTGGCTCAGAATGTTTAGCTTAGTTTCCAGTCCCAAATTTGCATCCGACAGCTTTTGCCAATTTTCCCGTGCCTTCTCTGGATCAGACATTTGCCACTTCTTTACAGCACCTACCATTGATGGTGTTGAGGATCCACCACTTCCAGGTTCTCCAAGGAACTATAATACAAGACAACATCTTTTTTAGTACAACAGGTTTCACAGAAGTCATGGAAATAAGAAGTTCGTGAGGTTCACAACAAGTTTTTTCAGGTAAGACTTCAGGTCCGACTGTTTGCTTACAAGATTCATCAGTGGCGGTAAAGAGAACTCGGTTCTCTCATGGTCCCATTTTCCTTTCAAAATGTCGCCAATAAGTTCATGTACTGGCAGACCCGATACTACAAACTGCAAAACTTTGTACTCAGTATAGTCCTATCATTGGTGGAAATGTTATATACAATGAACTTCTCTTAACGGACCTGAGCATATGACAAGGCTTCTGAAGAAAAGCGAACATAACGCTGACTCCCATAGACCGCAGAGCTGACATCAAACCCACTTCCGACCTTCCCTTGTGCAAGACAATGAGATGTTTGTGATATCATATGGATAACATCTAGATCAGAACAGCCAAACTTTCCTTCTTTACATGGATCGGATAGGTTAACCACTCCAAGGTAATGTAATAGAGCTGCAACCACAGCTGTTGTCATTGCTGCAGAAGAACCTAAGCCAGTTTTTGCTACTTCAGGCTTGCAATCAGCACCATTTGACTCGCCTGCGTTGAGTGTGATTGATGCAAAAGGTGCAAGGGTACCCAGAGATTCTGGTGTCAAGGGAAGCCCAAGCGATTCTATCTATCAGAAGAAAAAAAGAGAATCAATAATTAGTACAAGCATCTCAAGAGGAAGGATTTGGATAATCAAAGGATAAACTAACAAATTCAAGTACAATTTAGACAGTTTCCAGCAAAGAAAAAGACAGAACACCTGATTTCGATATGAGTAAAAGTCATTGGAGCCTAAGATTGTGATGTCAAGTCCTGCAAAACCGATTTAGAGAAATGGTTACACATCCAATCTCCACTTTCAGAAATAAAAATGATGAAAAAAAAGCAGCGATTTGAAGATTGCCTTGCAAGAAGAGTTTATGCAATGCTTCCTTGTCCTTGTCGCTTGCCAAATGTGCAGCAGCTATGGCATACTGTATAGCATTCTCTACAAAGGGGTTTCTTGAGTCACTGAAAAAAAATTCCAGAAAAAAAGTGTAAGTTCTCGATCACCTACATTCGACAAATGAAGTCTCTACAGTATAACTTATGGAAAGATGCATCGCATCCAAAAAAATTCTTTGGGATCTTGCCTTGCAGACACACACTGAAGAGTCAAATGTTTAAGTGACAGTTTATACATGCTTTCTCTTGAGAGCTGTGGCGATGTTAATTTAACATCTGTCCATTGCTGTAAAAATAAGCAAACAAACAAACCAACAATTGTTTATCAGCACTTTCACACAAGAGTATTACTTCCCAATAAGACACAAACGAGAATAGAATGCATGCTTATGGAGAAAGTACATACCCATGCCCAACTATCAGGCTTGACTTCTTCATTGATCGGCTTCACAATCGCATAGAACCGTGCATTTGTACTCAACACAAGCCCTGCATTTGGCCTCTCGAGTATGAGGTAGCCTCCAGTCATCAACACCTTCCCAGGAGCAGAAGCAACACTGCAACAAAATAATTTATAAAACACACAGAATTTCAAAAACGATTGATCCCTTTTACTGTCTATTAAGATACTTCCCAAAGAAAACCCAAAATACAATTTTCCACCAATTGAACACATGAAGTAATCAACGCAACCAAGTATAACACCAATTGGAAACCAAAAGAAATTTTCGAAAAGACTTAACGGAAATCGAATACGCCATTTCCCAGATTCATCAGATAAACTGGAAATGGGAGAGAGTCCTTGAGATTTCTAATAAAAGACAGCATGATATCCCGAGAAAATAGAGGGAGAAGCACTTACACAGCCGCCATTTCCAAAGAGTGACAAATATGATCGCTGATCAAACCCAGAACCACCTGCGATCAAACAAATTGAAATTCCTTTTAAGCAAAAGCGAGATAAATTCAAATCGCAAGCACAGATTCAACATATATACGCACATATACACACTCACGTAACTCCAAAACAAATGTATCGTATCAACTGAGAATCCCTAGAAGTCGAGCGACTTAAAAACCTCGCTGGATTGCTTTGGTAAATATGATCAATTTTGTCAGCGGAGTATCAAACACTTACCAAAGAACCTCTGTCTACGATACGAGATCGCCGGATACGATCGGGAAATTTGCAATCGGCGGCAGTAAGTGACCGGCGGGACGAGCAATGGTAGATCGAGTTTGGACTAAGGCGCAGGGAAGAAGAAAGAATGAAAAAAAAGGAAGTGAAGGGTAGTTAAGGGATATTTATGGGTTTAGCCAAATAGCGATGAGGGTAAAATAGGAACTTACAACTAAAAGTATCAACAGACTTTTTTTTTAGTCAAATAAGTTTGACTCGTGAGTTTTTTATTTGGATAAGCGTTTACCTAGAGTTAATTGTATGTGAAGACACTTATTAAGTTATCAATTACATCTGAAGGTACTTAGTAAGAAAAGCTGACTTTGCCCAGACGAAAAGATACTACCACCCTTGACTTTTACTACTTTCACCCGATTCACATCTACCTTTATATTTTACAGATACATTTTCAGTAAAAATTCTAATCCTGTAGTAACGGACCTCTCTTCTCAATTTTCTGATTCTTTCTGCAAATCGGCACTGAAACCTCCTTCTGTAACAAGTTCGCCGTTCACCCTCGTTCGATTTCTGGAAAAATTAGCCACAACAAGTTTTCTGTTTCGCCTTTGGTATTAGATCTGCAATTGCGACATAGTTATATCGCCGGAAGAGACATCACTATGGCTGGTAAGTTGGAAATTCACCGTTTAAACATTTACTCATCTACGAAAACCCCTGTTTTGTACAGCTCATATTAAAAGATTTCGTTATACTTTTTCCTATTTTTTTAGCCGACGACCCCACCGGCGGATGGGATGATCATCTCCCCACAAGGCTTTTTGCCACCGACCGCTATCCCAAAATCCGGCTTAATGTGTACTCGAAGCCAGATATTCTGCTGTTTGTGCAACACATACTCAGAGGGTCGCCGGAACTTGAGACGTTAAAGGATTCGTGGTTTAAGAAATTGTTTGATATACCGGTGGTTAGAGCGCCAATCTCAGGATACCTTATCCATTCCCTGCTATCCAGACAACTAGTATCCAAAAGGAAATACGAGATGTGGACGATGTTTGGTGGACACCCTTTGCGATTCTCTCTTCTCGAGTTTGGGAGCGTTACCGGGTTGCATTGCGGAGAATTCCCTGAGGACTACGTTCCTGTTATACTACCACCGACCAGGAAGGACAGAAAGAAGAAAAAGGTAGTAGACGATTGCTGGAAAGAGTTCATTGGTGAGGATGCTGGCACAACATGTGGAGACATCTCGAAGATGCTTCGCGAAGACCCGGACATGCCCGCTGGGAGAAAGCTGCGCCTCTGCCTCATCCTGATCGTGGACTGTGTCCTTATGGCCAATAGCCAGGTCCATTCGCCGACCCCCAAATATATGACAATGCTGGCGGACCTAGATAAATTTCTCAACTTCCCTTGGGGGAGGGAGTCGTTCCTGAAGACTCTGACCACTATGCGTCCTGAGAGAAGAACCCCAGACTCAGTAGTTGACCCGGTGGTGGTCTTTCGCAGCAACCTTCAACAAGTCACACACCGTCTTATTGGTTTCCCCCTCGCATTGCAGCTTCTTGCGTTACAGGCCATTCCGGCTTTATTGAGGAGGTTGCCGGCAGCTTCGGCAGACGAGCGGACAATAGCTCAGCTTCAAGTCCCCGGCCTCCCTCCTTATGCTGCCCTGTCTCTCAAAGCCGTGGTAGACGCAGAGTACGACCCCAAGGTAAAAAGAAACCTTTATTTAAATTATTGGCCTTCTCTTTTATGCCCTCATTTGTCACATCCTTGATACTTAGTACCCATGTACTCTGTTTCAGCTCTCGGTCCAACCTTTTACTGAAGCAGACGTACCCGAGGGTGTTGATGGATGGGCCGCCTGGGATGATGAGTGTTTGGACAGGAAGGCTAAGTACATGGAGGACCGTATCTCCAGTTCTTATATTTTTAGCAAAACTGAATGGCCTGGGGGAGACGCTACTCTGCCACTAATTGTCCCCAAACACAGTGCACCACTAGCATCTCATACGAGACACGTCATTAACCGCAAGTTTGTTAAGCGGCCCAACCCTAGCGTCCAAAAATCACGAACTCATTCAGAGAGAAGGGATTCACGGAGTCGGTCTCGCAACCCACAGGAACGAGTTCAACCAACACCTTCTGCTTCGACAAGGAGATCGTCTCGGAGATCAGTTTTCATAGCACCGGCGTCTCCGTCCGGCACTGAAGGCCATAATAGTTGGTTGCTGTCCCAGGTGCAGCTTCTTTCTCAGCAACACAAGGAACTTGCAGAGCGTTTTTCGCGCATGGAGAAGAAACTCGGGAAAAAAAGATCTTTGCATTTTCGCAAGTTCTCCACTCAAAGAACTAACTTCAAACGTCGTAGGCTAAGCAAAGACTGTCCTGCGGATACGCCACCCATTTACTCACCCCCCCATTCCCCAAGGATCATAAGTTTAAAAACTAGAGCGTCATCTGCGTGGGATCAGACAACATCAGCGGATGAATCCGAACGGGACACCAATACTCTCCCACACGAGGTCAGTTGATATATTATGCACTCTCCAATTCTTTCATCTACCTTTGCCACTAACTCCTAGATACAGCTCTAATTCAAACAATCAACTCTCCTCAAGTTCATCCAGGGGTTGCAGACAAAGATGGACACAGCCAGTTGGACCCGCTTTCTTTCGTAAGTCCTAAGTTCTTCACTACCAATCGTTCTAAATTTATCGGCTATTAAGTCGGGCTCACATTTGTTATTCTCCCAATTGCGACAGTCTCCTCCACTAAACCAGGAGGGTTCAATAGAATATTAACTAACTATAAGCATGACATTACCCCCCTCACCCCCATGCCTCTTTGTAGCGCTCCCGTATAACTTTTTCTTTCCACGCAGGTTTTGAACGACCAAGCAGATGCTTTAATTGCGAAGATCATCAGTTCGGTTCAATCTGAGGATACCACTGTTGCATCGGTACATCACCAGCACCAATATTCCGAACAGTGTGGGATGGACGAAGCTCTATGCCCCATCCAGGAGGACCCGTCTCGCGTCGATAATGTTCCTGGACACATTGTCATGGACGACAACAACGCCATAGCTCGTGGGGACTCGATAGTAGACAATCCATCCAGTGTACAAATCTGCAAAGACCGTTTCAGCGGATAACCTAACATGGATGGAGATCGTGATCAACCTGACTACATAGTTTCTTCATCCGGACAGAATCGTGTGGACGAGCCCAAAATTACAGGGGCCTCTACTCACGCGTTCATAGAGCCTCACTCACACTCTACTGCGATCGTCGTATATGTCCCTACAAAGACGGTTAGTTTCTATCCCCTATTTTTCCTTTCACGTTACCCATGCGTCAAGCGCTTCCCAACTTGTCATTAAATCATCCGTCCAATGATGTCCAACCAGTCAGGAGTGCCTGAAGCCGCCACATCGGTAAGTCCCCATACATCGGTAAGTCCAACCTCGGTAAGTGTCCATGTTTTCTCTCAACACTACTACCATCAGTTGCCTCATACAGCCTGCACCTCCACCGCTTTGCAGGTGCCCTCATGCGACGTCCAACCACCACATCACGCTGCATCTGAGACTACATTCGATGGAGAATCCTCCATACTCCAGGTATTTCCCACTCCACTAACCGCCTTCTACCTACAACTCCTGTCCACGTTTTTGACGAAGTTGTTTCTCCTACAGCACTTCCAGACGCCACCTAGGCAATCTCTACTCGACAGCACAAGAGCCCCCAACCAGGATCAAGATGGGCTTCATAGAGCTGAACCCGAATGCCTTAGCGACTCTTCTCCACCACCGCAACATACACCACACATCCCAACGATGCTCGAGGTAGAGGTGGCTGGAATGTTCCAGAAGTGGGGGACTCGTTCATCTTCCGAGTTTCTAGCCCCCGTAGCCAAGGGCGAGTGGTCATTGTTCCATCAAACTCTCGCCGCTGCTCCAACACGGTAACATATCTACTACAAACACTCTCATTCCCACCTGTCATTGACACGTCTGACCATCATTTCCCTGTCTCAGGCAGCACAACACTAACACAAAGTTTGACTTCGAGAATAATTTCTTCCTGTCGCTAGCCAAACCCTGCGGCTGGGTGGACACAAAGGTAATCCGATCACGCACACACCCTCATCCACCAGTGCACTTTTCAATTTTCAGGCCTTAAACTCATGCATGTATGTTTCAGCACATGGAGGTCCTTATGTGGACGGTAGGGCTGAAGCACTCTGACGTACTCCAACAGGAACAAGCAGACTTCGCCTCACCTTGGCTCCTCAGCCATCTGGAATCCAAGTCTCGTACATTTAAGCATGCTATCAACAAAGACCTCCATCGTTGGGATGACAAACTCCGTGAGTTTGTGCTAGTCCCGGGGAAATCATGGCTCCAGGATGTGCAAACGGTTTACGCCCCAATGAATACACCTAAGCACTAAACTTATCGAGGTACTCGACTCCAACCCTTCCCTCATCGATGACACGAAGCTCGGTGCGCACATTGGCCCGATTGCAGAGATGCTGCTTTACATCCTCAGCAAGCTATGCCCTGACCACCCAACCCGGAAGAGCAGACTACAACCTTTCCAATGGCAACGGTTGACTGGCTTATACGTGAACCATCGCGGTGGAGATTGTGGTCCCGTTGCCGTCAAATTTATGGAGATGCATCTCAACAATGACCCACACCCGGGCATGGCTGGCTTGACCGACAAGATGGTGAATGAGTTCCGCAAGAAATGGGCAATGGAGATATATAAAGACGCGGTCATTCCTCTCTATTTCCCACAGTAACCGTCGCGGATATGTGTTGTGCAGTGACTTCCACCTTTTTTGCTCCGACTCGGTTTGTGCAGTGAATGTTTTATACGCTAACCACACTGCACTTTTTTGCCATCCACCGTATACCATCCAGGCTTACATGGTTGGTGGATGCTGTATTATTATATTGTATCCTACCTCTCTTGAAACGTGATACATGTTACTACCTCCTCCTTGACTCTGCTACAGTTTTAGTTCCACTTTCTGTGTTGTACGGGGTCTACAATCCTCTTATATTTTGTACTGCTTTCATCACGTTAATCGGAGACTATGTTTTCCTACTGATTGCAAACGAACGACTACCATCCATTATTTAATCATCCACTCATACGACGTACTCAATTGTACACAAAACACTTGTCTATTTCATAATGTCCACTAACAATTGTCCAATTATTTGCAAGCTTGTAAATGGACTCTACCCCTTATCCAAATGATGTATCAACTTCCTCACCGGTTCTTCCAGGCCTCTCACACAGTTGCAACCACAATCGTCTGAAACCTTAAAACCAAAAGTTACCGTCCACACATAACCACCCATCATCATTTCTATTTTAAGTCACAAAATAACGGACACGATTAATTCACCCTGAGTTTAGTTATGCAAAATATAATTTACTATTAATCATACATTAAACCAAATGGGTGTTACATATGTTACATACTTTCAGCAATCGACATAGAACATTGTTAACGGTGGACAACCAAAAAACAATTACCCAACCATCCACACGGAAACTATTTCACCTCCACCGTCTCTTTCCCTCATCATAGTGCCATACAAAAAACAGCCACGCTAATTTTAACATCAACGACTACCCAATACCACTACCCCACACCACCGATCTATAGTACACCTACTACTCCAACTAGAACCATAAATATTACTTCTCAATATAAACCACCATCATGCCTAAGACAACTACGAAACCAACCCACGAAATACACAGAATTTATATCAGCAGAGACTCCATCGATTCCGAAGCTTTCTTATCCTCTGCTATACTCCTTAACACCTCATCCTCCACAATCGTGACATCATCGGACATCTCGTTGCCTCCCACCCGAGCTTCCCGTAAAAGTTGCTTAGTCATAACGCGGACCGATGCTCTCAGCTGCCTAATCTCAACGCTCTGCTTCTGGATCTGCTCTCTCGCTTCCAGTAAGCTCCGCTTTTGCCAACCATGAGGCTTCTCATCGTTCTCCCAACAGTAGAAACCATGTCTGTCACACGAATAAAACATTCTGCCAGGATTGTCATCTGTCCACAATTTCTTCAAGACAGTCACCCTGTTACAGTAGCACCCCAGTCCGTCCATTGCAAGCTGATTTCTGCTTGAAGTACTCGAACCCGACGCCGAACTCTGCCCAGCCCCCGTCATGCTGTATATCTCAGATTATCGTTTGTGACACACCCTCCACCGACATTACTCACCCCAATTAGGGTTTCTATACACACCTCCTTCCCTAATTTCGTTTACTGTCATATTGATCTCTACACAGTGTTGGGCCTAAAATAAAAGCCTATGACCCTAACATCCAAAAATGTCTATTTACCAAAACACTCCCATAACACGGCCATTCGACCCGTCCTTTTACTCAGGGCCATCAGACGGTTTATCAAAACCCAATTACTACGCCCACATATAGCCCACAGCACTTGCACTCACCACTACGTCCACAGATACATGTCCACAGATTAATGTCCACACCATTACTGTCCACCCATTCGCAGGTCAACGCATTAGCCCAACGTACATAACCACTGTGTACATCCCTTAACGTCCAATGCATTGCCACTTCGTACACTACCATTCGTCCACTGTTATCTCACGATTATATACACAGTCGTCTACTGATCCAACACATTCATCAAAAACAGTCGGAAACAATTTCTGACAAAAACGTGTGGGAACTTGTAAACATCCTTTACGAAGGACAACTTCTATAAGCATTTTTGAGATGCATATACCATTGCGTCCACCGGTCAACATCCATGACACCGAACGTAATAAATTAAGTACATTGAATGACAAACTTATACAAACAACATTAGTGACACCATCAACCAGCTCTCTCCCACCAACCAGGGGTGGACCTGCCCCAACCAAAAAATACCCTTCCCACACAAACCACAGCGCACATGGCCCTACAAAGACATGCCCCTCCATCACATATTACTAACACCATCCATGGCGATATTCCTCAAAAACTAACAATCACTAAATATCACTGCCCACGATGCAACCCCCCATTTACAACACCAAACAACCATATAACATCAAAAAAATGGTCAATCACGTATCCACACGAAATAACCCTCTGTGGATACGCAACCCACCATCATCACTTCGGATGTGGACAACTCGTCCTATTGTGTCCAGGATTTCTACAACAGCCACATTTGTTAGGTTTCTCCTTCTTCACCCTACTTACCTGCAATAATACTTAACATTAACATACACCAAACCGCTTACAAACCAACACATCAACATTAAAACAAAGTTCACTTACAGGAATTTCTCCCACCGATGGGTACCGAGTCTCCTTTTGCCTACCCGCTTTCTTTCTTGTATCTGGTGGGGCAACAAATGCCGAACTCACCTCCGCAGGGAGAACATAATCACCCGCCTCCTCAGGAGGTGTTATGACACCCATGTATGTCTCCGCCCAGGTACTTGGTTTGAAAGCATCACCAACTAGTGATTTGTAAGGCAGCCCAAACACATCAGCAGCCATCAACGCATGTCCACATGATATCTTCAACTTGTCGTACACACGCCACGAACACTTCTTATCTTGGAGGAACACCATATGCTTTTGCCCGAATTGACCCACAACCTCACAGCTCCAACTCATCACCACGTTTACTTTACCCTCCTTACAATTCTTCACACTTTCCGTTAATACCTTATCAATCTCAGGCGGCACACCACCTCGATGCTTTAACGACTTCTTCCTCCTTGCATTAAACCATCTTGTCATCATTCCTTGAATAAACTTCAGCAGTTCCACAATCGGAGATACTCTACCCTCCCTCATCGCGTTGTTAAGCTGCTCAGCGGCGTTGCTAGTCATCAGGTTGTACCTCTCTCCCGCGAAATGCGCCCTCGCCTAATGAGCTATTCCAATGGATTCTAGGTATTTTGCGCACTGCCCATTAGTTTCTCTAATTTTCCCAAACACCTCCCTGAAACCTCCAACCCGATATGCAAACACTGCACTCACTACCATCTTTGCGAGTCCTTTGTTCTTGAACCTAGAATTCACATTGCGCGCTAAATACAACATGCTGCATGATGTGCCTTTGGATACACTCTCCTCTTTGCTGCATAGATCGATGCAGCCCTATCAGAAATTATAGTCAACGTTGAGCTATCTGCTAAGATACGTTCTAGTTTTTGCAGAAACTATGACCACGCCTCCTCGTTCTCACTGTCCACCACCCCATACGCGAGGGGGAAGACCTGATCATTTGCGTCCTGTCCACTTGCTGTCAGCAGAACCCCCTTGAACTTCCCTGTCAGATGCGTTCCATCCAACACAACCAAGTGTCTAAGCCTCCGAAAACCTGTTATAAAGGCCCCATACGACAGAAACAAGTAAAGGAACCGATTCACCCCAAATTCACCTGCCTCTGTCTCATAGTCCGCCACAGTCCCCAGATTTGCAAGTTTGAGCATATGCAAATACTGAGGCAACTTTGCATATGACCGATCGTCCGTTCCTCTAACCTCTTCCACAGCTTTCCCCATTGCCCTATAACACTTCATATACGATGCTGACACCTGCAAATCCTCCAGCATTAACCTCTGCAATTCGCATGCTCTTGGCCCTTTCTCAGGATCCCCGTATTTAGCCTTGAACACTGCAGCTATGACCCGAGATGAGACTTTCTTCTTTACTGCATTCCTCGTATCTATGTCACATGTGTGCCGCAGCTGTGCTTTCTTAATCTCATAATACCCGCAGTCTTTGAACTCCCTTGCTATTATCCGCCAATCGCACTGTTCATCTGCGGAGTTCAGAACAAAATAATGCCTCTTTGTAGTCGTTTGTCGGAAATTAAATACCTCTTTTATGGCATATATGGCCAACGATATATGGAAGTCTTGTTTGCTCGCGTACACCTTCCCATCGTACACGGTCTCCCCATCCCCATCCAGATCTAGGTCGGGAATGTCTACGCTTTCGTATTTCAAGTCGTCAAAAATCGGAGGAATGTCAAAATCTTCATCGTCGATCTTCCCCAGCTGACGTTGTGGCGTGTCAACCCCACTCCGCTGGCCAGTACGATTAAAAACTTCATCCATACCATCCTGTCGCTCATTGCTTCGCGCCCCCGGACCACTGTTTCTGGTTCCAAGGCAACTGTCCATGCCATTACATCTACCATCACCCAACCAATTTTCGTCAACACAGAAATTATCAATCTTCTCTTCACCCATCCTTCGCCGTCCAGTACTATTGTTTCCACAAAAACCGTCCACGACATTACGTCCACCAACACTGCCAGATGAACCCGCTTTAAAACCATCTTTCACAATTTCCATTGGCCCTGCCCAGTTTTCACCCCCCACATTATCCACTCCCTTGTATCCACTGCCACAGCTGCCTTCTTTCTTACACGCGGCGTCATCCACACTCCCCTCGCCAGTCAAGACGCTGTGGTCGAACGCGCTATTAGTGGAGAAGAATATAATCCTTCGTGGCTCATTGACTTTATTATCACCTTCTTCGGCTGGAGGACACATGAACTCAGCCGCATTCGAACCACCATACGAATCATCTAGTAATGGCTCCCAGAAATCATTGTCACACCCCATCGGCTGCACGTTTATGTCTTCATCAAAACTCTGGCCGCTACCTTCCGAGTCCGATTCAAATTTCTCAGTAGTACAGTCACCATCCGCCACCTCAGACCGCTCTCTCCTACGCTTCTCTTCCGTCATCTCCACATGACTCAGAATCTCCTCGTCATCAACCTCCAATGGAAACGTCTTCGACCCAGCGGAAGATCCATACCCGTCATACATTTCGGCATTTCGCCCATTTTTCGCATAACTCCCTTCTTCCTCGAACACGCTTTTCCTTTTCCCTCCCGCCACAGGTGTATTGTACGCTTCTCCCGATTACACAATCTTCTTTCCGCCATGACATCCAGGATCCGTCCCAAAATCGACAAAGAGGTTTAGCCCCTCCTTCACGCGTAAGTGCTTGCAGAAATAAGCTATTGCTCCGTCACTGCTGACAACGACGGGAGGCGTTGTTATACCTGTCACGAGTTCGGAGCTGTTAGGTGGCCAGTAACTGAGCGAGATACTCTTCCCAAAGCTGTCATTCCCAAAAAACTCGGCCAACACGTTCTCTTTAAGCTCCGCTACACTCATACCCTCTCGGAAAGGAACAACCCTTGACATATACTTCTTATCTATCACAAAATCCCACTTTCGGTCTTCTGAACATCGCCATTCACCATAAATCACCAAGCAATGTCCTTCCATTCATACTACACACTACACAATCCACCCGATTTGTGGAGAATAGGCGCCCGGCAAGGAGGCCCTTAATAAATTTTTACCCTACAATCCTCAGAGATGCATCCACAGTGCTTTTAAAATATTTTCCCACTCAGACCATATAACGTGTCAACCACCCAGCCATCAGATAAGGTCTTGATTAATTCACCACAGCATCTGCGGCAGAGATCTTCTAAAATTTCTCGACCTTCGCCCACATTTACTCCCGCCCTAGGCCCACCACTAATTCAAATCTTCAAAGCCTGTAATCTTAACTTGCCCTCCCAATTGCCCAACGAGTAATAAACATCCACACCAATACATTATCCACTACACGAACCGTAGCTGGACGGGTTGCAGTTTACTCGTCCTATTTGTAAATTACTATCCACCAACATACACCCAAACAATAATGAACTGGACATTTTAGTGTGGACAGTTACACATTAAGAGACAACGTCACAATTACCTTCAACATACTCAATCTACCAATAACGCATATCACACATGTGGACAACATCATATGGACAAACTTGGTCCATAGTCTCCACGTCCAACGACGCCCACGCAAAAATCGGGCAATTTTCTCTGCAGCAAACCCTAAGCCCCCGGCCCCGTCGATCGGGCGATACTATTCTCTACACAACCTGATCAACTGCGGAATCACTAAACAAAACATCAATCTGAATCACGAAAACACAGGATTCCATCATCGGGGAACTCAACTCGATCCTCCCACACCCCCCAATTCCTTCTCCTACGTATTGAAAGCCCACACAGATGAGTACAAAGTTATTTAGGTATAGATGCATATATATCTAAGTTTACAATTGACTTGTGCCGTAAGGTTTTTAGTCTCGTCTTCTCCGGAAATTCCTGTAATCAAGAAACAAAGCTTGTATTAGTAAGCGATAATAGTGGAAGTTGAAGGACAAGAGTCTCTCTCCCCAGACGTACCGGTTAGGCCGGGAACTGGGTTAACAAGTCTTTGTTTTTAACCTGCAAACATACAAATCATACTCTCTAATTAAGCTCTATTCGATACAAATATCAACAAGTGGTATCAGAGCTATTGGTGAAGAGAGCGAAGGATAGTTTGATCGGAAGGGTTAAAAGAAGGTAACAAAAATCTTATCTGATATATCTGCGGCAAGTTTTTTGGTAATTAGGTGTTCTTAGTTTGCTGGTCCGCTGCGTGTCTCTGGTTGTTGAGTGGCTTCGGAGGAGGTTCAGAATATGTGGTACCTGCAAGAAAGTCAGTGTAACAAGTCAGTTATGGAACCTACTCAAGGAAGGTTTGAGATGGACAAATTTGACGGGAAAGGCGACTTTGGTATGTGGAAATACAAGTTCCTTGGTCAGCTTGATATTCAAGGTCTTCTTGATGTTGTGTCTGACGATTTCACGGTCACGACATATACAGGGAAAGAAGAAGGAGAAGCTACAGCAACAATGGTTGATCCTAAGAAAAACGAAAGGGATCGGAGAGTACGAAGCTTACTTGGAACATGTCTCAGTGATTTGATATTGAGAAAGATCATGGATGATCCTACAGCATTGGGACAATGGAAGTCTCTCGAGAAGCATTACCAGAAGAAGTCTCTTCCAAACAGGATCTACTTGAAGAAACAGTTTTCCTGTTACAAGATGGAAGAAGGGAAATCAATAGAAGAGAATGTCGATGTTTTCTTAAAATTGATTGCAGATTTAGCAAGTCTGAAGGTGACTATATTAGATGAAGATCAAGCAATACAGTTACTTTCAGGATTACCACCTGCATATGACCAGCTAAGACACACACTTTAGTATGGAGTAGGAAGGGAGACACTCACGGTTGATGAAGTTGTCACATCGGCATACTCAAAAGAAGCTGAGTTAAGATCCAAAGGCCTCCTTGGGCAGGGAAAGGTAGACGCCGAAGATCTATATGTGGAAACAAGGGATGTGGAATCAAGGGGCAGATCTGATTCAAGAAGAAATCCTAAAAACCGGGGAAGATCTAAGTCAAAGAAAAGATTTGATAACGACAACACAGGCTGTTTTATTTGTGGATCAGAAGATCACTGGAAAAGAGAATGTCCAGAGAGAAAGAAACCTCCAAATTCTGCAAATATTGCAGCAGAACCTAAGCAGCCTATAGTGTTAAGTGTTAGTGCTCAAGACACGAAGAAAGAATGGGTTATGGATTCATGTTGTTTATACCACAGTACACCAGACAAAGAAGTATTATTTGACTTCAAAGAGTTCGATGGTGGCAGAGTTTTGATGGCTAATAACACTTACGGTAGCATCAAAGGAATAGGGAAGATTCATATTTAGAATCCAGATGGTTCTGAGGTGTTACTTACGGATGTTAGATACATGCCAGAGGTGAGTAGGAATCTTATTTCTTATGGGATGTTAGAGAAGGCAGGTTGCAAGTATAAATGAGGTAACTTCAGAGTTCAGTTCTACAAGGATGGGAAGAAAGCAATATCTGGAAAATATAAAGATGGGCTGTATTTTCTACAAGGCACGGTTGCAAAGCCAACGATGGAGAAAGAAGTCATAAAGAAGAAGAAGTCAAAGAGGGTGACATTCACTGAAAATTTGACGCATGGACCTACTCCATATGGCTTTAAGACAAAGAAATCATCTGCTCAAGGTGGAGACTCTCCTTCGATAGAGAATTAGGAAGAAATTGAGTCTAAGGTGAGCAAGGAAGAAGCTGGGACAGAATCTTCAGGAGATGATTATTTGGTGGAGATTGCTTTCGCTACTGTAGGGGAGATTGATACAGAAGAGATGAGGAAGTGCAAGAAACAGAAGCATCAGAAGAATGATGCAGAAGAAGGAAGTTTGAGCAAAGAGCTTGAGGTGAGAGACTTGGGAGAAGTTTCAAAGATATTGGGAATGGGTATCTTTGGAGATAGGGTTAAAGGAGATGAGACACTATCTAAGGCCCATACAAATAAAGCTCAAGCGGGTTCCCTAACTAAAGCAGTACCTGGGCAGAGGCTTCAGGATTGCTGCGAGCTTCCCAACAGGGCCTGAGACGGATTACAGCTCCAGGTAACTCCATTATCAACATGGTGGTACTCTCGCAGGAAGAATAACAAGGAACAGGTCCGTTTCAGAGGTTGTTCTTGTGTCGATAAAAGGAAAATCAGATTGATTAATGGGTTCAAGGAGTTACCTGTAGGAATCAGTAGTCATGTTGAAGAGACATTGATTCCAGGTGGAGCTGTTGGTGGAAAGATTCAGGAGAAGACAAGTTAGTTTTCGGTGTCTTGAATCTCAGGAAATAAGGCGAGAGTGGTTTTCTTAATGGTAAAGGAGTTAGCTAAGGTTGCAGAAGCTGGAGAGGAATTATATTGTTCATCAAAGTGTTGGCAGAAAAAAATTGATATCAGACGAGTACTCAAGAATAATGATATCAAAAAAGGATTAGCCAAGAATCATGAACAATTAACAGAGAAGTTATTGGTGTTACCTAGAGTCGAATAAGGCGTTATTGACTTTCAGGTGGAGCTTCTGTGAAATCAAGTTATGATTTTGCAAAAGTCTCAGAGAAAGGAGACAAGGCATAAGGAAAATAACAATTCAGGTTAAGAGGGTTTACCTGCGTTGTTAGGACAGTGAAAGAACGCCAATTTCTCACCACAACAGCAGAGAAGACGAAGGAAGTCGGAGAAGCTGTTGGGTTGGAGCTGTATGGGTTCACAAGCGGAAATTTCAGACAGTTTAAACAAAAGATGTCAAAGAGACAATCAAGGATTCAAAGGTTGAAGTTCTGAAGAATAGTCATCGGAGAAGATGACCCAAGACTCCGGGAAACTCAATTGCCCAAGTACCTCTCGCAAAAGCAGAAAAACAAAGTATATCGTAAGATTACTTAATTTCTGAACTTGTGGCAATGGAATCTTTACAAAGGGAAGAATGAGTTACCCGTAGAGCTGGTGGAGCTGAGAAGCTGGAGTCTTCAGTTCCAGGTGGATTCTTTAACCTGAGAAGAGAAATCGTTAACTGGTTTTTTACAGGATTTCAAAATTGAGAGATTAAAGAGGTTTTGAAAGCGAGAGGGGCTAGGTAAAATTGGGGTCTGAAGCATCACCTAATTTTATCTGGGCAGCATAAAAGCTTGTGAGCTTGCCGGAAAAGCTGCAAAGTGCAAAAGTCGGAGATTTGTTGGAGATTTGTTCTTAGTCTTCGCAGGAAGAAATCGAGAGGCATAGTTTACTTAAAACCAAATCAAGTGTGTTTGAGTAATTGGGAAATACCTTAGGCCGATTTCAGAGATGGCGACGATGCTTCAGGAAGAAGTCACATCTATCCCCACGATTGAGAGAAGCGATGAAGACAATGACTCAAGGCGAGTGTATGTTGGCGTGTTCTCAGAAGAATCATGGAGGCTCTGCTTCAAAAGGTGACTGTGATTTTTTGATTCACTGGAAAAGCCATGGATTTCTGGTCAATATTGAATGGTCAAGTTTCACCATTGAAATAAAGCAAAGAGAAATTCTGGAAAAGGAGATACATGAGATATGAATCTCACCACAGTGTATCAGGCAGAGTTGACGGAGATGCTAACACCGGAGGTGATGGTTGTCAAATGGAGATGGAGACCGTCGGGGTCTTCTGTCTCTTGAATCGCAAGAGATGCGATGAAGGAGAAGCCTTAAGCGTCGGAATTGTTGTTCACCGGAGAAAGTTTGAATCTCTGGTTGAGAACGGAGTCGCTGGTTCCACCATTGAAATGGAGCAAGAAGAATTCGCAAGTCTTGCGATGAAGAAGATAGCTCTCGGAGTCTCGATTCAAAGGTGTAGGCATCTCGGGGTTGTAATAGAACCGCCATGGGAGGCGGCAGTGGTCGGAACTGTAACCGAGAAGTGAGTTTCAACGGTGGCCAGAAATGAATCCGAGAGGGTTGTCGTCGTGGTCTCTCGATTCTGAGAAAGGAGAAGAGTCGAGAT